GACTAAAGAGACTCATCGGGACAGTGGTAGGTCTTCCTGCCGCACACTAGGCCGTTGGCGCGTAGAGTGTGGGTGTAAGCACGGGTTAAAGATGAACTGCATTTCGACCTCCATCCACCACATCCCTACTACAGCCTCACACCTACACCCACACCCTAATCGAAATCGGTCGAATATTCGAATGTATTCTTCTGATGGGCTCATTCTTTAGAGTGTTCGTAGTTCCGATGGATATCGAATGATCGAAATGTATCTGAGTACCCGAAACTGATTATTCGATGAAACAAAATTTTTCGAAGGCTCGGTATTCGAGGGGTCGAAAATCAAGCAGAACGAAAAAAATATATTCTGAAAACTTTTCGAGAGCTCTGAGCACTCCTCGCGGTTCTTCTGAGGTTCACTTGAAGAATAACATTTTATTTATATCTAATAATATAGGCGAGAAAAACAAAATTTGTGGGACCTTCTATTCTTTTTTATTTGTAGAATTATTTCCACTATAAACAAATATAGATGTATGACATATGACTTTTCGGTCATGCTTTATAACAGATTATAATATCAGTTCCTGACAAAGATTTCATTTATTGAATGCGAAGAACACTAAGTGTCAATATTAATTGCGGCCTTTTGCAGATCGAAAAAGACTTGTAAGAATGTTTGAATGTGTTCTAAATAAAAAATAGTAACATAGCATGTCATAAAAAATCGACCTACTCATAAATCGAAGTTCAATTTTACGATAGACGAATGGATAGTATAAGATCAAGCCAGATAGGACGAGTATTCCTGCGACGAGATAACCAATATTTGGATCGGAAATGACAGGTATTAATATTAAATAGATGGCAATAAGTATATTAATAATAAGAACAGGAATAGGAACCTAAAAGAATATTCTTTCGTATTAAATATATAAAATAGCTGTACAATCCATGCCGAACTAACATTAATTACCCGATAGGCATCCCTTTTAGTCCATTTACAACAGAGAGTGGCAACAAAACTAAGACCATAGAAGAGCCATGCAACAAAACTAAAGAAATTAATCAATGTATTGACATTACTTAGAATACAATAGATAATGGAAAGAATGATCTATCAAAATAGAGAAGTATGATATAAAATGAAGTGAAAAATATTTGAGATAAATAGTTTACTTGAAAAACAATACTTGGTAGTGGTGTACGTCGTTGTTTTTGGATGCATGCAAAGATTTCTGGTAAATAACCGTAACGAGCACCGACCATGCAATACCGAGAACTTTGAACAAGACCGCCATTAGCGCTACCCAATGCGCTGATAGCAATCATAATCGGCAGAACACGAACTACAGGACCTAACAGTTCTTCACCCCATGTCTGTGTACTAGAGAAAAAATGAACATAGTTGCCATTAAGATCATGATATTTACCACAGCAACAGCATTCGAACTGAGTAATACTGCTTTACTCATGACTGTAAAATAAGAAATGTTAATAAGAACGTACAAAATGATGACAGTTGGTAAGGCTAAGGCCAAAGCTAGACCAAGATTTCTATGAATATCATACAGATGATAATGACGTCTAATCTTTTGTTTATCACTACCTTTTCGGATTTTTTAATTCTTCAGTTACTGAATTCAAACTACTCCATCCTTCGTATGCCCAGAGACCTGAATAGAAAGCAAGAGCAATACCCAATGGATTCTTCGTTGTACCTAATGGTAAAAAATCATGTATTATCTTTGATTACCAAAATTTTGATATTCATACTCACCCGTAAATCCACTTTGAAGATTTTCTGTATAACCTAATTTTACAAAAAATAAAATGTTTCATTATTTATCGTCGCCTACGATGCAAACTATTAGACCTTGCGCAATGCGAACTAATCCTGCGATAATTATCACTAAAATTGTCGTAGTTTTACATATGACAAATATGATATTCAATCGATTGGATGCAGATACACTAAGCGCATTCATAGCAGCCATCATTACTAATTAAAAGAACGAGAAAGATGATCGGCTTGCGGTCTGAATAGTAACCTACGAAGTAGAAAGATTGCGAACATCTTGACAAGCTCCTCGGGTGGACCACAACCTATCAAAAATCGAAAACAATATTATGATTTCGAGAAAATAGTTTTTCATTACTATCTATAATGCCTGATAAAAAGTATTGAGAACTGATAAGGGTTACAGCGGCAATGGCTGATGGGTTTAGAATAAATGCGCTAGCCTAATCGAAGACAAATGCCAAAACATTGCCTGTACGTGCATGCACCGAACCAATACCTAACCAATAAAGAAAAGAATGAAAAAATATATAACAAATTCTATCGCCCACCTTCTTGCATATATGCAAGTTCGGCACCACTTAATGGAATTACTGTACCAATTTCTGCGTAGCTTAGAGCACCTATAGTGAACAGAAAAATTAGAATGATTCACTATTTAGTTAAGAACTTACCAAGGATGGAAATAAAGCCACAGGCAGTCCAAACAATAAGACATAGTCCAACCGACTCGGTATATCTGAGAACACCTTGAGGCGAAACAAATATACCTGAACCTATAGTTAATGTAGATTGAAGAAGTTAAGAGATGTGGAGAAAAAATTGCAATATACTTACCGATAATATTACCAATAATAAAACAGGTTGCTGAGAAGAGACTAAGATGTCTTTTGAGGGTTGTTTCTTCTGTGGGTGGTGTTTCTTTCGATGAACTAATCGAACGATGCTCTTCGTCAAAGATTGGATGCACACGTCGTTGATAAACATTATTCATACTAGTAGAAAGATGAATACCAAGTGCTTTTTCACTATTCTAAATTCAGAAATCAGTTTATCTCATACTCAATAAATTCTTTCTTTCATTATTGACCGAAGAAAATATAACGTCGCTTTGTATTTCATCAAGGTGATGTGAAAGAAAACAACAAAACCATAGTCGATTTGTGCACTTATCTCCTGTTCGAACGAAAGAGAATACAACTCTTTACAATCCCATAAAAAGAGATGTTTATGGTTTCTTTGTACATGATGTGATAACTGATCTGTTTATGATGTATTTTTCAAAGGAGAATATCTATCATAGTATTAAGGTACAGAAAAAAACGACAGAATTTTTATGAATTATCGTCAACGACATGGATAATTACTGGGTGTGGGTGTGGGTGTGGGTGTGGGTGGGTGTGGGTGTGGGTGTGGGCGTGGGATGTGGGTGTCGGTGAGTGTGGGGTGTCGGTGGGTGTGGGTGTGGGTGTGGGTGTGGGTGTGGGTGTGGGTGTGGATGTCATTTCTCTCTTTACTCACACCCACCCACACCCACACCCACACCATCGACTTTGCTCCACAGTCATTCTCACTTTTACTTTTTGCAACTGATTTAATCGAGTAGGTTTTGTATGCTATCAAGGCTAGAAGTGATAAGAGAAGGACAACATTCGTTTAGAAAGAAAAAAATAAAACATAAGTTGCTTGTGTGTCAAAAGGCAGAACTCAAAGACATGGTGAGATAACTGTTTGGCAGGCCAAACACATGCTACCAAATATCTATTATATCGACCAGGTTATCCACAAAAATTGTACGATCTCATTCTCGATTACTATTTCGATGGCAATTCAGTGAAACAAAAGATTCCACTTGTACTTAATGTGGTGTGTGGGAGTGACCAAGCGACTGTGGATCTGATCAAGTAAATGTTTGAATAGTCATCTAAAATTCTAATGGGATCTTTCTAAGATTCTGCGGACGAGTGATCGCTATTGACACCAGCGCTAATCAGCTGGCCAATGCCACACCAAAAGACAATGTGGAATATCGATACCAAAAAGCAGAAGATTTAACATTTCTTGAAGAGAACTCAATCGATCTGGTTACTATTACTAATGCTTTGCACTGGCTGGATATTAAAAAATTTGTCGAGCAAGTCTCATGTATGCTCAAACCGAATACAGGCGTATTTGTGGACTGCTCAAAAATCAAGTAGTCAGAGGAGAAGCAATAGAGGGACTCGAAATGATCATATTTGACTAGATGGGTAAGATGTCGACTGCCTACATTGTGATACACGTTTCTGATGTAATCAGATGTTATGGGACACCTTTTCATAAGTGCAGCTTTTGACTGAAAATTTGCTGAAACAGAACACGAAACTAATGATTTACTTTTAGAGTGAGCAAGTATCAAAAAATGTGCTGCCAATTTTTTCCCACTCAATTTCGATTAGAAATTGAGAGGTGACGGGCATTCATTTTTAAACTAACCACGCCAGTGCACAGAAAATAGTCGAATAGTCACCACAGTTTTTTGACCGAACATCAAGTTTAAATAGCATATATCTGATTGAACGGTGTGGGTGTGGGCTATGGGTGCGGGTGTGGCTGTGTGGGTGTGTGGATGTGCGTGTAGGTATGGGCATAGATTTGGGTATTGATTTGGGTACAGATTTGGGCATTATCCTTAGTCCATATACGCCACGTACACACCCTAACAACCCCACCTACACTCACATCTACACTTACATCCACACTCATATTCACACTCACATCCACACTTACGTCCACACTCATATTCACACTCACATCCCCACCCAACCCACATCTCACAGTGCACAACGACATCCACACCCATACCTACATCTATACCCACACCTCCACACCCACACCCCACTGTCACCCACAACCGCACCCAGACCTCACCCATACACCCACCAGATGTGTCCACAGAGCAGGGCAAACCTACCCTGCCTTGTATCCTGTCCTGCCCTGCGACAGGGCAGGGCGGCGATTTTATAAAATGCCCTGCCCTGCTGGAGGGCAGGACAGAGTAGGCAGAACAACAAAGCAGAACAGGGGGATATCTCCATGCCCTGCAAATTTCACACACACTAAATTTTGTTTGGAAATAAGAGTGCTTTGGTTTTTCTCGAAAATATTAAGAAAGGGATAAACAACACAGATAGCGTTATCAATGGGCACATAAGACTTTCGTATTTCAATGGTGAATATAGAGCCAACTCTAAGTATTACAAAGAAACGAAAAGAATAAGGAAATCATAACAATGAACATATATTTTAATATCTGGTCAGAGTACCATAAGTCATCGAGTCGACTACATTTAATCGTTAATTTTTTGAGCTTGATGAAACCCAAAATGAATGAATCAAACTTTCCTGAAAAATCAATCTATTGTTTTCTAATTGTAGTAAAAAGCGAATCAATTTCTGATGTCAAGCAGTTGTCAAAATATCTTCCAAACTAGCGCTATCTGTATAAGAAATTTATTTATATCTCCAGAATCATCTTTCATCAGAAACTGCACCAAAGATATTTGATATCAGAAAACCAAATTGATTTTTGTGAAAGTTTCATCAAGCTAACAAACAATGTAGTCAACTGCCATTTTTCGCCACACTTTATGTCGTCAGACTACACACTATTTGTAATTGTTGATCATCTTCTTGTTAGTTTAGTACGCCAAATAAAAATAAAATTATGCAATCATCATCAGCATCTTCTTATTCACGTCTCAATATTTCTCCTTTTCCTTCTGTTGATGTTACAAAAGCATTATGAAGTCAGAGAAGATAGACAAACTTCTTTTCGTGAGATCCATGGAAAACAATTACAAAAATATTACAAGCACTTTTCTTTAATAACTTTCTCTCTTATTCCTAGTTCATTATTATTTGCTGTTAGTCATGATTGTTTTTCTTTCTTGAATTACTTCACAAACAAAAAACAGTACTGAAATTTAGATATAAACATTACAATATTTCTTTTGCTCTGCAGGGCATCCTACCCTACCCTTTCCTGTCCTGAAGCACAGGACAGGACAGGGCACCAATTTTGAGAAGTTAGAAGGACAGGACGAAGTATTATGGGGAGACAGGACAGGGCAGAGCAAAAAAATGCGGCCTGTGGACACCTCTGACGCTCAAACTCACACACACATTCATGTCGATACCCATACGCAATACAAATGTATTGTATTGTTTGTTTCAAGTTTTAAGTGTGAGTGTGGGTGCCGGTATTATTTGAAGAGAAGATATCGACATCCGCGCTCTACATCCATACACATATCGAAAAATACCAACACAAAATAAGCCCACGAATATAGAATGATGGTCTTGAAATTGGAGAATATTGTGTGTTAATTGGTAGATTTTCCATAGATCTAGCTCATAATTTAAAGCATACCATCAGCAATGCAGGCAGTACATTGACTATGCTTAAAAAAAATGTGAAAAGAGTAAGAACAAACGACATGATATAAAGCCAGAATAATATTACAGTAATAAAAGCTAGAAGAAGAAAGGCCAGAATAAGTATGGCAATTAGAATGATTTTAACACACCAATTGTATTCTTTGGTTTTTTCCCGAATAATGTCATATGTAGCATATGGCTCATCCTTAAACAGTTCACAGAGAATATCGCCAACAATGAAAATGGCCGCAATAACGAACATAATAACAACTATCCTTATATGTGGTACAATAGATGATAATGAAGGAGCCGTGTATTCCAGGCAGGGCTTGGTGTAGTCAAATGCAAACAGGAATAAGCCTGGTATTATTAAAGATCCCTTAAATATTGTTGATCGTAACAGACGAAGAATCTTCCCACAACAGCTAAAGCCCGAGTCAAATCTATAGTCCAATAAGGTACCAAATACATTCAGTATCAAAGCCGCAAATATTCCAAGCCAAAAACAAACTAGAAAGAAATAATGAGATCCAGTTGAACGAACCAACCAGTCAAGTTCGTTGCCAATATAAAGATTAATGGGCTTGGTTTGATTGAAACAATCTTGAAGTATGTGTTCATCTTTCACAACATAGTAATAGCCATCAGTATGGTTTGCGTAGTGATAATTACCACGATTTTTATACTTATGGAATGATATCATATCAAGAATAAATAAACCAATCGAACCAATAATGGAAAGTCCAGCCATTATTTTTCGAAAGTGAAATCCCATGGAAGGCAATTTTTTGTGCGTCAATGTACGAAACTGAAACAACGAAATTTTTAATAAGGAAGCTTAAGTAGAATCCTTCTACGAAATATCTAAGAGCAACTCAAAAATTGATCTCATTCCAGGAACTTTCAGATGGCATGAAACTTTCAGAATATGTTGGGGCTGTAGTGGATAAGCTATGGTAAAATTTTCGACCGGATATCATGACGTTTGAGGGAGATATTCACCAAACAAGGATCAAAAATAACTCATTTGGCAAATCAGATTTCTCTGCCCAGGTTCATTATAGAGATTTAATTTTTTTTGTTTGAAAGAGCATGTTAGGATGCAGTGCAGTACAGAGTCATTTTTCTCTAATACTTACTTTTTAAGAGAAGAAAAGAGATCGAAAGTTCAGTGACTCAAAAAACTCTAAAAATAGCCCTCTAATTATATAGATGTTTGTATGTCTAGTGAGAGCAAAGCTTAATCAAAAATATGGGCTCTGTATTGCACTGCGTCTTGACGTGCTCTTTCTAGCAAAAAAAAATTTACATATATCACATGAACCTGGATTGAAAAATTTGGTTTGCGCGTTTGAGATATCATGAATTGACAAAAAAACGAAAAAGATTTTTGATTTTTTTAACAATGGCTTATTTTTCAAATAGGAGATGACGGAAATCTTCAAAAATTTTCGGAAAAAATAAGATAACGAGCAAAAATTTTTGTCACTTATGAGAGACCAGATCACGGACTATATTTTCCTGCATTTATCTCAATTTCGATGATTTTCACGAAAAGTGACTTCTTTTGAGGAG